GTATCTGTTGGTGTAGGTAGGCTCTCTGTATATAGTGTAAGTGTAAGTATCTGTCGGTGTAGGTAGGCTCTCTGTATACAGTAGAAGTGTAGGTATCTGTCGGTGTAGGTAGGCTCTCTGTATACAGTAGAAATGTAGGTATCTGTTGGTGTGGGTAGGCTCTCTGTATATAGTGGAAGTGTAGGTATCTGTTGGTGTAGGTAGGCTCTCTGTATATAGTGTAAGTGTAAGTATCTGTTGGTGTAGGTAGGCTCTCTGTATATAGTGTAAGTGTAAGTATCTGTCGGTGTCGGTAGGCTCTCTGTATACAGTAGAAGTGTAGGTATCTGTCGGTGTAGGTAGGCTCTCTGTATACAGTAGAAGTGTAGGTATCTGTCGGTGTAGGTAGGCTCTCTGTATACAGTAGAAATGTAGGTATCTGTTGGTGTGGGTAGGCTCTCTGTATATAGTGGAAGTGTAGGTATCTGTTGGTGTGGGTAACTGTATACAGAGAGCCACAGATACCTACACTTCCTACCCACACCGACTGTATACAGAGAGCCTACCCACACCGACAGATACTACACTTCCGGCTCTCTGTATACAGTTGTAGTAATATATATTTCTGATGACTATGTCAAGAAATGGTAGGTTGTTTTATTTCTCTATTTATATTGTGAACTGGATTCTTTTGTCTATAGAATTAAGATGTTCTAGGAAGGCTGGTAATTGTTCATGACAATGAGCATCCAGGAGTCTTTCTCAGTATGTTTAATGGATTAGTCTGGTTCTTATTGGCTCTTTTTAACAATTACTGACTTAAGTTTTTATAAGCATGTATTTTCTTTTGCTTGCTACATCTGCCACCAAAGGTGGACAGAGGTTATGTTTTCAACCCTGTGTGTGTTGTTTGTTAACAAGATTTCTTGAAAACAGCTGAATGTATTTAGATTATACCCCAACGTAGAAGTGATTAATGTTTGAAGGGTCAAATCCAAAAAATCCCTCTGTTAACATTGCTGACCAATATTTCATACTATTTTTGCTCTATAACTCTGTCAAAAATCATTGGATTTTGATGATACTTTGTGGACATATTTGGAAATTATTTCTCATTGTTTTGCCAAAAATAGTCTCTTTTATAACAATGGACATACGGACAGCTTTTCATATTTTTTGAGGGCCGAATGTGATCAGCACTGTATGACAGAGGTATGTGCTCAACTGAGTAGCCCTCTAGTTGCTTAATGATGCAATATAAAACACTATATATATCAAGTTTCTGTATGCATTCTTAGTTGTAGCTATTGAAATTAAAGTGTTGATATGAGCTTCCATTTCTCCAGATTAGGTTAATAAAGTGAAGGTTAGGGTTCATTTCTTAACTTGCAACAGAAAAAGAATAGACGAGTTTTTGTTAGAGAAACTTATATTGGGCAAATTATAGTTGAAAAACATTTTGAATCTTAAGTTGTTTTATTTTAATTAAAAGGGATTGTGTATCACTAACTTCATCATTATTCACCATAAGTCTAAGCCTTGTGTTATTAAATTTTAATTACTTGCTAAAGCTTCACTATTTTTATTACAAGATGCATAAAGATATTAAAGAAATCCTGGGATATAAAACATTTTTCCTAAAAAATAACAATTTCATCTTGTAGATCATACGCACAAAAAGTTAGACTAATATATAAATTCCACTCATATTTGCTGGGCCATTTCAGAAACATTTGGCACAAACTAGGGAATTGTGAAAGTAAAACCAAAATATTTATTGCTACAGCTAATTTTATTGTGCAACAGTTACTGTTCTAACTTCTATACCAGAACTTAACCTGAAAATATGCAGATTTGTTTACAGCTTGAGACTGCTACTCACTTTAGTGGGAACATCACATTTAGTCTGTTAGTAGTTAATAGTGGATTTGTTACTTTGAGATTGAACATAATAACACTTTGTGCCTAATGAAAACAACTTTGGCATTGCTACACAAACTGTAATTTCATTTCACCATATTTTGTGATTATCAACCGTGTAGAAAGCTTAAAAAATTAACAAGCTATTTTTGAACATAAATAAGAAGTCCAAAACCAACAGTGAACAGGAACATGGGAATTGCATAATTGAATTTACCTTCAGTAGTTCATAAAGGTATTTTAAGCAGTAGTCACCCAACTAAGCTTGTCAGTCAAGCAGTAGCTGTTCACAAAGGCTATGACTATATATAACCACTTGTAATCTAAAGCCAGGATTTGATGAGAGCATGTTGTCATTTAGGATATTCATTTTATTTTTAGTGACCAACTTTTGATTATTAAGTTTAGAATTATGTTTTTCTGCTTTACAAGGGCCTGAAGGAAGTAACATTTCTCATGTATATTTGTTCATTACAATGATTTCACACTTTTTACACAAAATTGATTGTTATATCTTAATCAAGAAATCCTTAAACAGGTTATATTTCAATAGATTCAATGAACTGTCTTTTCTAAATGCAGTATTGGAAGTAACCATGGAAACAGTATATATATATAATGTGTGTAAAATGCAGCTATTATGCGATTACTTCTCTACTGTATGAAAATGAACTGCATCAGAATACAGACACTTCCACATCTTTATAATGCCTATAAAAGAACAGGAAGTCATACTATTCCCAGCAATAATGGAGTGAATGAATCATTCTTCTCAAAAGACAAATGCCACATGAAAAGTGGGTAGAAACCAAAGTTTAGGCTGTTGATTGGTACTCCACACCACAGATCAATGTAAAATTTCATGTTTCAGAAGGGGTTGTTTGAAAACTTTGAAGAAGGTTTATGAAAATAGTACTGTTGATAATAGAAATTGTCAATGTATAAAGCCCAAACTTCTTAAAAGTGATATTAAGTAACTTGCTTTTTTATGTGACATGTGAAAATACAAAAGAGATTTTGCTAATGATTTTGTTGTAAGTATTTAAAACAGTAAGATACATATTAACAGTGCACCAACTTAATGTGGTTTACACCAAAACAGTTGTTGCTTGAGCAGTTAGTGATATAAATAGCATCTTGACCTCTACCACATCTCTGTTGTATCCTGTCGGTTTTGTATATGTGGGCTGGGATTTTTTTCCAATAGGGGTCTGTGAATTGTTGGTGATAAATTCGAATAATAAAAAGCCAACATGCAATCCAGTTATTTGAAAATAATATGTTCAAAACAAGTCAAATGTATGTACAAAAATTCTTTACACTATAGGATATCAAAGTTTTATCTAAAGTTTTATTTTTCTCTACTTTTATCACAATAGTATTAGTGAATAATTCACTTACATTACCCCGTGGATTACCACAGCTATATCCTGAGCCTTAAATAATTGTCTCCTTTTCATCAAAGTCCACACACAATTGCTTTAGAACACCTTTTTACAAGACAAATTATTCTCCTTACCTCTGTTAAACTCTCTTCAGATATCACCTGTTAAGGTTACACTAATAAGGTTACATGCAGTCTAACTTCACTCTCACTGACTTTTATTTACTTACTTCACTTATCTTGTTGCTTACCACAGTTGTATCCAGAGCTTTAAATAATTCTCTTTTTTTTTGTCAAAAAGATTGGTTCAGTTACCTTAGAACTTAGAGGTTTTGAGAAAGATGACATCAACAATACTACAGTTGAACTATACACACAATGTACGACTCTTATAGAGTTATGTAACAAAATTTGTTATAATCATCACCTTTGAAATAATTAACACTATTGTTATAAAACTAATTAATCATTAAATATTATATCACTAAATGAACGAAATAATAACTCTTAAACTAAACATTCTTGTATATCCAACATAACCCAGTCAGCCTTGATGAGCCCTGGTATTGAGTGATACTTTGTCAATTCTGGATATAGCAGATAATAATGTGGTTGGCATATTACATATTCTTTACTTTTACTGCAGTGTATGTGTAGCAGCTCAAAAACCATTGCTTAGAAAAGAGAAACAAATTAAAAGGCTGCAATAAGAATCAAACTACAAATAATGAGATGAGCAAAGTTCATTGAGAGTACTCTTTATAGATAAATACAAATTGTTTGGCAGCATAGAGAAAAATGATATTATGGCCAATGTACAACATCTACAGGTAAGCATACTGGAGGATCAGTACCAAGAGGGGACTGCTTCTCAGCCAGTATTATTAGATATCTATATAAAATCGATGTTTCCCTGCCCTTTGACATGTACAAACAGATTCTTACCAATCAAATCAATCCTTATGGAACAAAATCATGTTGGATAGGAAAAGCATAATCTGTGCATTTCCATCATTATTATAAAATGCACAATAAACGAGTCTTGTAATTTTTGAAGTGTCTTACATTATTATATTTGGTTATAGAAAGATAAAAGTAAAATGGAACCCTTTGTACCATTGTGATCCCATGATTGGTTAGTTTTAAGTGTTACTGTTGTACCATTTTGTTTTGTTTTTTCATTTTAACTTTTTGTAGTTTTAGTAGTATTTTAGGTATTGTAAGTTGTATCTTCAAGACTGATTTCTGTATTATTGCTTTGTATTTATATTCCTTCTAAATAGTGATATCCATATTGTGTTTATAGTAATACATTAAACTTCAGAATTAGCTTTACACTTGGTGGAACATATTTCTACAGGGTTGAGTACTTTATATTAAAATGATTTTAAATACATACAGCAAGTCAAATGACAACTACAGCCAATATAAAGTCATGATGGAATGATATGTTTCAGAACATTTTGACATTGTTTGTAGTTTTACAGGTATTGTATTGCCATGGGAAATTTATCGTTTTTTTTAAATACATATATATAACAGCCCTTTCTATCACAAAATATTCATAAACTCTGAAAATATGGTGGCCTCGTTTTTGTGGCCATTACAGCATCAACTTGCATCTCATTTTCAAAACACCCAGTTATCAGATAAGAGTATGACTGGACATGAAGACATGAATCTAATGATATAGTAAGGCTTCAAAATCATTTTGACATCACTTACACAATACTTTGTATAACTGTGTGAACTTTAATAACATTACAGTATAATGAGAATGTTATGACTTTATTTCATTTTATTTAATGACAAGTTGATGGTAAATTTCAGAAAATATTTTACAATACAAACTACCTTCTGGATTTATCATTTTCCATATTACTACAAAACTGAAAAAAAAAATGCTTATTTGTTAATAGAAAGTTTAAGTTCATTAATTTATAAGTTTTGATATAATCAAAATAATTCAGTACATTTTAGAAAAAATGATGTAACATCTTATAATGTGCAGTTAGTGTTCTGTAATTTAGTACAGTGTTATTATTATTATTAAAGCAGTGGGAATGTCTTGCCATTTTAGGTTGTAGTTCATCTCAGTTCCAGTGTCCAAGTGGAAAGTGTATAGAACTTCATTCTAAATGTGATGGAAGGATTGACTGTGACGATGGTTCAGATGAAGTAAACTGTGGTGAGTATTTACATGGCCTAGCTATCTAATGAATGAATCTTTGCTGTACAAATCTTACCAAGTTTAGCTACCAGTTTCATTACTTTAAGTCAGTGTTTCCTAAATGCTGGTACTGGTCCTTGAATTAATTTCTACCAGTCTGCAACATGACTTGGCTGTTGAAAGCACTGACAGTTATTTGTTTTTTTTTCAATATTTGATGACTAAAAGTCACCTAATTCCTTTTCTCCAAATTTGTTTTGAAATTTTACTGGTCCATTATTGCCAAAAGTCTGGGAACCACTGCTTTGAGTTTCATGCTCAATCTTTTTTGGCCACCTTTTTTTTCACACTTAAGGTGCCTTTCATTAAATATGTTATACATTGATATATTTTATATATTGTTCTCATTGAAGTATATATTGTGATTTTGCACCTTGTTTACCGATATGTCTATACCATTTGTAACCTTTAATACTACAATTTGTACTGAATGTTTGTTTGGCATATATTTATTTTAGTGAGTGTGTGTCTGTATATATTATTGTATCGTGATATTTGAATCAACTTGTATTCCACACAGTTCACTAAATTGTAGTTTGTTACATTATAATTCAATATATATTGTTCACAGATACCTGCTTACATGGTCAGTATACTTGTGCCAGTGGTCAATGCATTGACAGAAGTAAACGCTGTGATGGTAAATTTGACTGCTCAGACTATTCAGATGAGTCTGGATGTGGTATGTGAATTTGTTTTTGTTGAAATCATGAGCATATTTACAAGACGAAACCTTTAAATTCACAAATTAGAACTGTTAAGAAACTAAAGTTTTACAATACAACAGTTTTCATTAGTGTATTCATAAATGATTTAATGGATTTTACAATAACTAATCTTCAGTTACTTATTTAAAAAGAAAATAATTTTGATTATATTGTGTTCCCTAAATGTATGAAGCTGCTGTTTTTATTTTTTTAATAGAACCTGTGGGTGATGTCAACATTCGTGTTTACCCTGAGAGACAGACCATTCGTCAGGGTGAGATTTTTCATTATTCTTCATACTCTTACTTCTTCACATTGTTTTTTTTTATTGGTTTGAGTTCTCTTCAAAAATTTCTAATACTAATCAAATCCAAGCAATTTAAAACTTTTTAACATTATTTAAAAAAATTCTCATATACAAATTATTTTCATATTTTTTCTTATTACAACATGATAAAAATAGGGAAATCAAAGAATGCACACTAGACTTTTTCTTTTATTAGGGTTAACAGATTGTATTTTTTCATAATTTATCCAAAACAAATATTGATAGAATTTATATCAAAACTCAAAATCTGAACATTTCAGGTACTTTCGTTCTATAGATGATTGGAGATAGACAATTTTTTAAAACTCATTATTGTTGTGTTGAATTTTCATTTTGTAATGTTGATTCAGTAGAGTTGACTAAAATGTTGTTATTTTTTTTTCATGTTAGAAACAGTTGGAACATTTGATTTGTTAAAAAAATATAAAAACAAAAAACAATAATGATTACCAAATTTCCTGCACTCGTAGCAGTGTTAACTTTTCTCAGTTTTCTCTCTGCCAGTTTTCAAGTTTCTTTACACCCAACTTGTTTCAGTTCTAAAACAATATGATGACAATATCATCAGTTTTATTACTGAAGGGACTACGGAGATGTCATTGAATAAAAGTCAGAAGAAATTTGAGTTTTTTGTAGAATCTAAATTAATGAGCTATTATTTAAGACTTAAGTATATTTTCCTCAAGCTAATTTATTTCACTTTTATATTTAAGTTAACTATAAATTATCATTATCAGTAATTATCTGTGGGTTGTGTCTTATGTATTCCAACATTATATTTGAAAGTGACATATGCATCAGGGAAAGTTCATTATGTTGTATTACAGCCGCAGAGCAATCTTGATTCAAAACCTGTTTCTTATTCTATTATGTTCTTCTTTACTATCTCTGAAAACACTTAGTGTGTCCAGCACAATACCTGTAAAAATGGAGGGTTGTAATAAACATGTTAGCATATTTGGGTGAAACAGGATTAACAACTTTTGCTTTGATAAGTTCATTATTTGGTTATGAAAAGTTTACTTTGAGTTCATGAAATTGTAAAATTGGAAGCATTATATAGGATTTATTTTTTGCAAAATTTCCAGAACAAAAGTTATTGATGTCACTTAAAACAAGTGATTATCCCCATTTCTATAAATTTTGCCAAAATACCTATTCAAGCCCATAGGTCAAGAAATGAAATTTCTGATCAATCCATACATAGTTATTTTACAGAATTGTCCATAGTATGAACACAGTAAAGTTAAAACTTATTTTCAAATTAAATCATTTATGGTAGGCTGATCAACAATGTTATTTTCTATTACTTTTGTTTTGCATTTATTTAAACATAAAACACGATGTTCAGTGACAACAAGGAGCATATTTGTCCATCTAGGCTGTCCCATTCTCTAAACTAAATTAAAATTCCTAAGTAAAATATATAAAAAAAAAACAAACACCAAATCCAGCCCTTATCATTCATATAGATCAACTTTTCTCTTAAACTCGCTTAAATTAACTGCATTCACAACATCTAAAGCAACCTGTTCCAGAGGCCAACCACCCTGTTAGAAAAATAAAGCTGTCTTAGCTGAAGATGATTCCTACTCTGCCAAAATGTATGCGTGTCCCCTAGTCCTACTATTCTCACTGTTAAGTATGAAAAAACAAAGATGATGCATCAACATTATCAATTCCGTTAACATACTCTTGGGTTTTACCTTTGCCTTAGGTTTCTTACCAGTTGTCTTTGTCTTCTTCTCAGCTTCTTTCTTGGGCTTACTTGGGGCTTTAGCTTTCTTTACAGCCATTCCTCCCTTCTTCTTAGGCTTTTTCAGTATTTCCTCTTTGCTCTTGTGAGCACTCAGCTTGAAGGAACTCGTAGCTTCAATTAGGTCCCCTCTAACCCTTATTTCAAGAGCAAACAATTCCAAAGATCTTAACCTCTACTTGTATGACAACTCCTCAATCCTAGGCATCGTTCTTGTAGCCTTCCTCTGAACTCTTTCCAACAGTTCAGTGTCCTTCCTAAGGTAAGGAGCCCAAAACTGAACACAATATTCCCAATGTGGCCTAACCAGTTACCTTATACAATAAAATTATAAACTAATTTTGTCTTGCATTCATTATTTCTGTATATACAACCTAAAATCATATTTGCTTTACCACCAGCAACAGCACACTGCTTGGATGGCTTAAGAGGCTGATCGACTATTATACCAAGATCCCTTTCTTTCATAACACTGTTAAGAATATTCCCATCCAAATTATACTTATAATTTAAAATTATGATAACCGACATGCATTATCTTCCATTTATTGTATTTAAAAATCATCTTTCATTTATTTGCCCAACTCACTAAATGATCTAAATCCTTTTGTAAATCAACAGCATCCTCTTCACAACTAGCAATACCCAATACCTTAATATCATCTGCAAATTTAAGTAATTTATTGACCATTCTTTCATCTGTCATTGATGTAAATCAAAAAGAGCAAAGGTCCTATGACTGAGCCCCCTGAGGTACCCCACTTGTGACATTAATCCAATTTGAATTCTTCTGTCCAGCCACTCTTCTAACAAATTAGCTAATTTATCCCCCACATCTATAGAAATACTTTTTTTTTACAAGTCTTTTATGTGGCACCTTTTCAAATGCTTTCTGAAAATCCAGATACACCAAATCTACACCCTTACCCTCATCTACATAAGCAGTAACCTTTTCAAAGAATGTCAAAAGATTCATAAGGCAAGATTTTCCCTTGGTGAAACCATGTTAACTAACCAATAAAATTCTGAACTTTGTTAAATGACTTTGCAAAATATTATTGTATTGCAAGTAACAACATTTACAGTAAGGAAGAATATTTTTAAGATGGGTACAATGTTTCAGTCACTGTTGCAATCGTTTTAAATCATTGTGTACTTGAAAATTATTGCACCAGTGATTGAAACATTGTACATGTTTTAAAAATATTCTTCTTACTGTAACAGCTGTATCTTGTAATAAAATAATTGTTGTTCTCTGCTGTATATCAACTAATTCTTAACGTTTTTGCTTACTATTTAATTTATCTTGCACTTAGATAAAAAAAACTTGATTTTATCATTCATTGAAAAATTCGTTAATTTCTCTTCCTCTTGATTATAAGTTCAGGCCTAAAAAAATCTGGTTCCATGGACTTTTTTGACAATATCCCATAAAGTATTGAGCGAAATTTTAATGTTTCTCTGTTTTTGATAAGCAAATACATTTTTTTTTTACATGTAAGCACTTAGAATGTTATGAATTTTATACTGAAATGACAATTAGGAGTTCATCTTTATAAAAGTATACAATATGATACAATCTGAAGAAATGTGAAATATTTAAGCTAGTTGTTGAGGCAGCAAAAATGTGATTACAAAGAACCGAAATGTAATGAGTAAATATTGGTATTTTGCTTTTCCATAAACATAACAAAGCCTGATCATTCTTTACTAATGATGAAGAAAGTTTTGAATTCAATGAAATCTTCTAAAATTGATCATCTCTTCAGAAAAACAAAGTTTATTCTGTGAAAATAATTTATATTATTAGGTCGAGAGGTGGTGTTTAGGTGTCGAGATGAAGGATCTCGTCGTGGTCCAGTGGAGTGGAAACGTGCCGAACAGAAGCGGCTACCTCCAGGAAGTACTGACAAAAGAGGACGTTTGACTATGCCAAATATCCAACCAGAGCATAGTGGTTCATACATTTGCTCAGCTGTTGGTATTTCATCAGGAACACCTGGAGCCCAAAAAGTTGTTGTTCTTTCTGTGCAACCACGTAAATATCGCACATGTCGTTCAATAGAAAACTGTTTTATTAGAAACAAATATTTTTAGCATGTTCATGAAAACATGATTTTTCTTTTGTTTAATAACTTTAAAAATTTATTTAGTATTTTATGATTAACTTTATATACAATGATGTTTTTTCAATTACTTCTGTGCTCTAGAACAAATTTTTTGCAATACACTAAGGTAATAATTTTTCGTGATTGTGATTTTGAATTTTTTAGTTTTCTGTTAATCCTTTTAAGTTTTTTTCCTATTGTAGATAGTTTGGTAATAAATAATTTTTTTCTTATTAATTTCATTGAAAGATAAGAGATTTTAAGAGATATTACATAATAGTAATGTAATTTTCACATTTTAGTTTAATATTAGATATGCATATGCTCCTCGTGTGATATCGGATATTGCTACTAATAACATTGTATGTTATGCAACAAAGAATTATTGTCCATCTTTCATAATGAATTAATGATTGTATTTGCATTTCTAAACAAACATTTGTAACTTCAGCAATAAGGTTCTGTTATGTTGGTTTGTATTAATCTACTTAGAATTTCTCTCAAGTAAGTTGTTATTACATTTCTAATAAGTAAAGAAATATATATGTGTTTGAAGTCAGTTGACTTGGATTATAATGATAATTGTCTTTTTTTCTAACCTAAAAGTTTTGTTACTGTTGATATAAATGATGTTGTATATAGACATTACCTCCATGTTATACTTCTATGTGTCAGTTATTACTAACCATGCTCTCTTCTTAAACTTCTTAATCTCTATATATAGCTGTACCTTTTTATGGAGTGAATCTTCCTCAAATTGATCCCAGTACTTATCAAGGTACTAACTCCTCCTTGACATCTTTTTTATGGCTGTACTATGAAATACAATTAAAGAGAAGTTTGCATGATGCATGATGAAGTCTTTTGTTTGCCTTTTTATCTAACCACATTAACTTTATATTTTAACAAATTTGTTTATATTTTTATACTAATGAACATTTATAAACATAAAGTGATTTTTATACCTTCATAACCTTTGTTTGGAACATACATATCTTTCAAGATTTTAATTTTCATTATATATTAAACATATCCATTCAGTACTTCACATAAATAGCTCTGTAGTGCTTAAAGGTTTTTGTGTGATTGTTTGATGACAACAGTTTCAATACTTAATATTCAGATGAGTTTTTAACACTTTTTTTCAGTACATCAGATTTGATTTGATTTTACAAGTCATATATTTAAGTTAAATTTTCAGTTAACACCATTTCCTTAAATTACATTTTTATCACTGCATTAAATCATACATGGAGAAACTATTACACTGAAATCCATTGCTTAAAGGACAGCTGTTTTACAAAACTGGTTAATACGAAACTTTGTAAAAAAAAAAAAAAATACTTGTCTTGATGATGAGAGATGTCATGTTGGATGGACGTAATGGTTTTAAAATTTTGACTTGTTCAGTGTCAGGAACTTACTTTTTTAGTATGTAGTTTATGGGTGTGTTGGGCTAAGGATTCTTCTACAGTAGGTGTCTGTGACATTAGCATTCACTTACTTCGTTGCTGAGTTACCACAGTTGTATCCTGTACTTCCAATAATTGTCTGCTTTTGTACTTAGGTGTATTCAATTGCTTTAGAATTCAGTTGACAAGCTGAACTATTTTTCTCTCTATTTCTATCACATTAGCATTCACTTACTTTGTTGCTGAGTTACCACGGTTGTATCCTGTACTTCCAATAATTGTCTGCTTTTGTACTTCCAATAGTTATCTGCCTTTTGTCCAAGTCCACTGAGGCAGGTTCAATTACTTTAGAACACCCTTTGAGACAACTTATTCTCTTTATCTCTATCAAAATTGTTAATCTCACTCTGATATATATCAACCTTTAGGTCTTTCATTTCCATGATGGTTAACCTTAACTTTTTGTCTGAGTGAGCTTCTTTTTAGTGTGACTTTATCTTTTCTGTTTCCGTTCATCTGGTCATCGTTATTTATACGTCTATCATTTTAGGCCTTCTAGAAATCTTTATAGCCTCAACATCAATGAATTACAAACATAAAATTAATTAACTAATTAATAATACTACATACACTAAACAATCTCTTATATCTAACATTCAGCTAATAAAATATTTTTTATTTCTTAACTTTTAGTCAGTAGCAAAATATTTGAAATACTTATTAAAAGTATTACTGTCAAAATCATTTTATTTTTGATTAGTTTGAAATCAAAGAAAGTTTAATGTAGGGAAACAATTTATACCAAAAAAGTGATTTCTTATAATAAAAATAAAATGAATTTTAGTCCAAAGACTTGCACTGCTTCTGCATCCCATTTTTGTACAATCTAAGTGATATGACAAACATTAAACCCATATATAAAGTGAAGATCACATCAAACTTCAGTAATCAAGCCAAAGATCTCACCTAGAAACCAAGACTGCCTGAAGATCACACAAAGGTCATAGTTTTTATTTATTTATTGACAAATTCGATCAAGATAAAGGCATGACACTTCCTGTGTTTTGAACTCAGAATTTCTTCAACATGCATGGTCAGTCACAGAAATATCAAAGTAAGTTTACCACTTTTGTTGCCAAAGTTGAAGAATACCATTAGTCATTGTTAATATAATTAAGTCTACATTTTGTTTTTTATTTATTTAGGATACTTTGTTAAATTAATGTATCACTGAGACCCACCAGGTATTTGACAACAGAACAAATCTCAGTTAGTTTAAATATTACAATTAATGCACATGGTAAATTTCTAAGAAAAGTTTCTTAGAAAGTTAAACTTTTTAAGAATCCTTTAAACATACATCAATTCATTATATTTTAAATTTATTTTAATGTACAACTTGTATTTTAAATACTTTGGCCATACAAAATTGTGTTAATTAAGAAATGTAGGTCAAAATGCTTCATGATATATTGTTGTATATTTGCTACACGTAATTATTAATTCAGTTAAATTTACCAATTGTTGAGTGAATAATTAGGAACTGATAACATGAATATTAAAAAAATCAAAATATTTTTCTATAACATCATTTTTTTTTGTTATCATATGTTGTTTCATTTTATAGGATAACTTTTCAAAATTTATTAACTATATCTTTCTCTTCCTGCTGCACTGGGCTAACCATGATTTACAGTTGGTGAGCTTGTTTTCTTTACACTAATGCATGGAAATTATAATTTGTCTTGTAATTTATAGTGCCCTTTGTTTCTTCTATTGTACTAGGACTAATCTCAATTTTATTATAACATTTATTGATCTTTTTAAAGTTTTAATTAGTTCTAAGTTAATTTAAAGTTACAGTATCAATAACGATCTTGTTTACCATTCAAAACAAGTAAAGTAGTATTTATAATTATTTTTTATATCAAGTAGAGAATATTTGGGTGAATACATCATTATTTATGAATACTTGATTTAGAATATGAACGACAGTTCATATAAAAAAATATTCCAATTTAAGGCTATTCTAATTTTTTTAATGTATTCTTATGATTAATGAGAGATAGGGATATTGATTTGATGAGAAAGGAACGATATCATTACAAACATTTTGTATCATGTTATAAAAATGTTGGAATCTAACTAACTCCAAATAAATACAACTAAAATGAAATAAACATAGAGTACACCAGATGCAAAATTTCATACAAGTTGTAGGTTTAGTCAAGAATACTTATCATTAGATCATTGTAATGTTTAGCACTTTATTAATTTTGAAACTAACTAAAAGAAAGATTTAATTTTGAAGACTCTCCATCAACTTCTACTCAACGACCACCTGGTTTCTGTAAACGTGACCAAGCTACTTGTCAAAATGGTCAGTGCATTCGTCGGGATTTTGTATGTGATGGAGATTATGATTGTACTGATCGTTCTGATGAAGTCAGATGTGGTAAGTTAATTTTAACAATAATATGTTAAAGAATGTTTTCTAAAACTTACATTTTGTGTCTAAACACCATTACTCTGCATAAGGATAATTTTTGTTTTGTTTTTTAAAGTGTGCCCAAAGAAAATGTTAGTTGAAAAGCATGTTTTTAATGGAAGATGCATATGGGAAGATCACGGACTTGTAAATAACTAAATGTTTGAAAAAGCAATTATTAAGGAAAACAGATTTTTTAAAATAAAGAAAAAATTGGGGAATATTGAAATAAGTTTTTATACATGTCATCTGATTTTGGTAAGTTTTAAATAAATCTTCTTATATTCATATTTAGTATTTTCAAAAATATTACAAACATCGTTAATGAACTGCCCTCTTGTGAGAAACTAATAATTGAATTTGTATTTACTTTTATTATAGTTCTGTAATGTATGCTACAAATGTATATATATATATTTATAGTTAACACAAGTTACATACTTTAGTTCTCATTATTTTACTTATATTACTAGGGTATGAGTTGCAGTGTGACCCTAACCAGTTTCAGTGTGAAAATGAGCATTGCGTGCTCAAAGTGTGGCGGTGTGATGGTGAAGATGACTGTGGAGATAACAGTGATGAGAAGAATTGTGGTAAGACATTGTGTTCACATTTTTACTTGGGATGCTTTAGTTGAAGTATAGTTTGGTTGTGTGTCATGTGATAGAATAGTAATGTTATGTTGATTAACATTACATTAATTGATGAAAATGTTACTTTTTTCAATTAATTGCTATTAATTAGTAGTGGTTGTATTATAAATGTAATAATCGTATTATTATTGAAATCAACAAACACTTCTACACAGCGTGGTCAC